TGCTGTCGATTTGAGGTCTCTGTTGGGTATTGGCCTGACTGGGGTTCGAGTCTCTATCTCTATCATCTTTTAATATTTTTTATTTATTCTTTTTGCAAAAAAACCGCCACCGGCTTTTTACTTAACCCTGAAATTTTGAGGGGAGGTTTCAAGTAAGATTTCGTTGACCCACAAAGCACATTTTTTGGACAAAATGCAGTACTGCATCCGACCCATTCAATGGGTTAACGACCGGTGAGTGTGTATCAGTATAATCCTGATTCTTCACCTGACCTGAACCCACAGCGACTAAACGAGCTTTGAAGCAATCAATAAAACCCTGAGGATCGACCGGGTGGTCAGGACATGTTGAGATAATATCAATATCAAATGTAATGGCAGGCGTTTTTTAAGTTGAATATTCTTTATAATGTTGCAATGCAAATAAAGCCAGTGGCGGGTCAGTTTCAAAAAAAAAAAAAAGAAAGATACCTGATCATGACTTGTGCAAGGACGCCAGTGGCCGAATGAGGAGCTGCCATGGTGGCTGTAGCAATCGATTCAGTGGTGAGCACAGTGGCAGGTGTGTGGCAGGTACAGCACAACTGCGGAAGCCTGTCTTTGTCTTGGTGAATTTGGAGAAGATTTTTCTGCCACTTCCTTGGTGGCTGAGCTGGGTTTGGGTATGCGAAATTGGGGTAGTTAATCCCCGTTGACCTGTCAGTGATGGAGGGTCGCAGCAAGTGCAGTAGCTCAATTGTTTAAGCTGCAGGGCTGCCAATCCTGAGAGCGTGGGTTCGAATCCCAGTGTCTACTTTGAAATTTGCGAGGCATTTATGCCGACAGCGGGTAGGGCTTGGGTTCAAATCCTGAGGCGCATTTGGTCCACTGGGTGTGGCCCCCCTGCTGCCTCAATATGAGGTGTGTCTTAGGACGCGTGACAACAGATAGTCAGGGGTTGGTGAACATTCAATCAATAGCCGGCTTGGGATAGTACCCCTTGCAGTGGACACATGTATATATGTGCTCCAGCATATAGTGAAGCCATATTCTGGTCCAGTTAAAAAAAAAAAAAGATAGTCAGGGGTTGGCAAACATCCAATCAATGGCCGGCTTGGGATAGTACCCCTTGCAGTGGACACATGTATATATGTGCACCTCGTGAAGATTTTTTTGTCTTTGAAAAAGTACGCATCCCCTCATCAGCCAATCAACTGCAAGTCGACATGAATGACCCTCTGTCCCTTCTGTAACCCCCACTCCTCCTTTTCATTGTCAAGGAACCTGATCACCTTCCTCATCTGTTTCTGCCATACAAGTGTCAGCTGGCACCACCAGGAAAACTCGTGTCGCAGCCTAAGGCTCCCATGCACACCTCGAATGATTCACACCACATTCCTCCTGTGCTGTAAGCTCCTGTGAAAAGCAGAGCTAGGACTAGAGGAGGCAGCTTGAGGCGCTTTTTTGCGATGATGCGGCTGCGCTTGGTCTCAGGGAGTGGAAGTGAAGGCTGCGCAACTCAAATTGCGGAATTTCACCCTTTCCTGTCGACAATTTGTGAGCTAATCCTTCAACAGCATCTGAGGAATGGCAATTTCGTGAATCGAGCGTGAATGAAAGAGAAACCGAAGATTTGGGAGTAGAGAGAAGAGGAGTGGGAGAATGGGAGCGGGGGTTTTACCACGCTTGACAATAAAATAGCTTTTCTTGAAAAAACGATTTCTTGACTGTTTTTGGGTGTATTGACCGCGATTTATCGATAAATAGCATTTTGCAATTTATCTATAAACTTTTCCGAGCAACCTTTGCCCACCTTGGCCACCCTCCACTAAACAAGTCGCTGCTTAAAATCATTCTAATTGTGTTTATTTATGTGCATTCTATTGATTGCACTTGGTTGGAAGCAAATTGGAGCAGTGGCTGTGGAGATGTCATTTGTTTACACAGTTTGACATGAAATTGTCACAATTATCCCGCCAAATTGTCACGCGGTTTTCTACTCAGCCCACGTGAATTTGCGCGTTTTCTGCGCATTTTCCAATAGAAACCAGTTTGGTTTCCCTCTTGGCAAGGTTTGAGCCAGATTGGTTGACTGAGGCCGGATAAATCAAGAAAAATGTTTGTCAGTGTTTAGCACCATCAAATGCATTAATTTACATGTCTCCTTTAATTCGTTTTTCACCCTTGGTTTTGTGCACTGCATTCCAATTTTATTGTATTTCAATATTTTGAGTCTCAACAAGCTACGTTTTTAAAAAACAGATAAGTGATGATTGATCACCACAAGAAACACTTTTTTTCTGGATTCATGCTACTCTTAACTGGACACTTGAAAGCCACTGAAAACTCCAACGAATTTTGCAATGGGCCATTCACACGAAATCTTGCTGGGCTGTGTGGATCATTCTCAAGGGATGTGACTTCAGAATCAGGACTCTCATTTTCACACCACATCTGGCCAAAGGAAATATACAGGAGCTGTTCTTGTGTGTAGTTTCCCAATCCAGGGAGGAACATGTTTTGATCAGGGGTAGTGGATCTCCATGCATTTAGTGAGGCAGACAGTCCTCCATTGTCGGCAATATTTTCTCCATTGGAAAATTCGCTATGTAAGAAAAACACATTAGGGGAGAGTAGGAAGCCATATAGAATACCAAAAGTCACATACCCATTAACATTGTGTGGCACCCCATCACTTCCAATGATCTCATACGCATTGTATTGGTCAACAATGCATTTTGCCCTCTCCTTAAAAGCATTTTCAGACTCCTTAGTCCACCAGTCATGCAGTCTTCCATTGCTGTCAAACAGTCTACCAGTGTTATCAAAAGCATGAATTATTTCATGTCCAATAATTAAACCAATAGCTCCATAGTTCAAACTAGCATTTTGATGCATTAGAAGGAGAATAGCATGTTGCAAACTTACTAATCTGGATGCTCTGCATTATACATGGGATCCATCAATACTCCAGCTGGGAAAACAATTTCATTCCAACTATCATCCTACAAGGGGTTTTCAGCTCTCAGCCAAATATTGGCAGATTCACATACATAATAAGCATTGACAGTACTTGGAGTCATGAACCACTCAGACCTATCCACAGGACCCAAAATCTTTTCCAAATTCAGCCTAATATTGTTGCATTCACCTGCCACAACATTTTCAAAAAACAAATTGGGGTCCATTGAAAAGGGATATTTCGCTGCCAAGATTCTTGGATTCAGAATGGAGTCGTGGTATCCAATTTTGACTGTGATAGCTGCCACTTTTTCAATTGCAAGTTCAAGTGTGGGAGTGTCAAGCCAAGAGATGGTTTTGAGCTTGCTTGTGAAGGAGGATTTAATATTGTGGACCATGGATTGGGCAGCAGTTCGACTAGAGGCTGGGTAGTTTTGTGAAAATCTTAACATTTTCATCTCCAATAGACTTACCAGGAAAGGCATGTTGTACAAAAGCTTTCCCCAGAACATCTCCCAGAAATGAATCACTTCCATATATGCAATACTGTGCACGATGATTTTCCACCTGCTTTGGTTGATACCGATTTATGAATTGAGGATTGCTGCCTCCTTCTGAATTGGGGATTTCACTGAAAATTGATGGATCAGCATCCACAAACTCAATGTAGCTGGAAAGAAGTTGCCTGCAAAGAATCATTTGAGACAAAAAAGACTTGAATTTTATCTTGTTACCAAATGAGATATGTTTCAAGGACTTCAGATGATGTGTTTGATAGGATTGCACCCAAATTATTATAGTAATTGATGGTGACAATGTCAGCATTTATACTGCTTGGCAATTGCACATAGTAAGTCATGCGTGCTTTGAAGTATTGCTGCATATCAAGCCCACTCATTGAAAGGGATTTGAGTGGTGTCGGGTTGTATGTAAGGGATGGATCCTCTTGATACAGCAACTGCCTAAACAAAATCAGTCAAAATAAGAATCATTCGTTAAATTTGACTCACTCTGAATAGAAATGATTCGCCAATTTGGTCTCAAGTTCAATCACACCCAGGATTGTACTCATATTAACAGACTGTCCCATCACCAATTTGAGGTAATAAGCTATATTTGCTGCAAGGAGATTCGTGGAAATTGAGCTGTTGTAATCGGATGGTTGCATGGAAATCCCTGACTGAATGATGGACACAACATTCAAATCAGGATTCTCCAAGTCTGAACCAACATAAACAGCAAACAAGGAAAACACTCCAGCATCATGAGAGGCACCCAAAGCATTTGCGAGCTTAACAGGATCGGCATGTTTCTTTGCAGCCAATTTGAGTGGATAGAATTTTGCTTGATAGCGCTTCAAAAACGAGGTCAAGGGAGCAAGTCCTCGATTTTGAATTTGCATTTGATTGACACAGCTGTGATACACATTCTGGAGGTTTGAAAATGCAGCTTGATCCAACAAACTGTCACTGCTGTCCAGACTTGGATCAGGAGTGTATCCCTTTTCCACCATTGCTTTGAGAATTTGCGTATTTTTGGTCTCCATTTTTGAGAATATGCTGGTTGAAGGAGGATTGTTTTGAATCCATCCATTGCAAGCAAAAGCATAAAAGTCATCGCATGGATTCAGAGCTTCATCAATTCCTGTGAATAATGCTGCTGCAGTGGCCACACAGGCACGAGTGGTGCACATTTGGGATGAAGCTGGAGTTTTGGGAATGGTGCCAACAATCATGAATACCAGAATCACGACGCAGACGGCAATCAAGGAGAGCAGCCCATGGTTTATGTTTAACATGGGTCGCGAAATGGTCCCAGGGGAAGCAGCTTCAATGTCATGTGTTTGAGGGCTTGCTGTTGAAATTATTACAGGTTTCTTTCTATTCCAGCGATTGATGTCTTGACTTTTGGTGCCTCCATTTTGCTCGGGTTGTGGAATCAAGCGATCTGTGTCGCAATTCACTGGCGAGACCTCCTCCCCAAGCGCTGCTGCAGCTGACGCAGTAGATTGCAGATCACACGTAATAAGTTCCTCCTGATCCGAGTTGCCACCAATCTCAAAGCTGTTCATTGAAACAGAGATCGAGGGGGGTGGGGGCGCGACGCGTTACACGTAAATGAAAATCACGTAAATCTCTATATTTTTGGTTCACAACTCAAAGAGAAACTTGATGATTTGTTCACTGAACCACATACTGTCGGATGAAGGGTTCTTGACGAGAATCTCAACGACTTCATCCGCAAAATCGCCCGCGAAGACCCCATTTTCACGCCTCATTTTCACAATCTCTCTCACAATGTCTGCGGTGAATTCGGGATGGGATTGAATAGTTAAAATGCTCTTTCCTTGCACGAGCGACTGTTGTGTGTTAGAATGGTCACTGTGACTGAATGCGCGGATTTCGAATCTCCGCACATACCTGTATTGGACAGAGATCCGTTGAGAACAAAACAGAGAATCCCGCAGGACACACTGTAACAACGTCTTTATGCATGGAGTAGAAACTCTGTGGAATTGGAGTGAGATTTCGGATTGGGAGGCACCCACCCTTCGACAATGGCGAATCAATCTTCACGCACCACAGTGTCCTTTGCAGCGGCTCCAAAGAACAGCTTCCCAGCTTGAGTAAGATTCATTTGTGTCCAGCCGACTTCCCAGCCGTCTGGGTTCCGCACTGGCTTGAAGCCCAGGGGATTTGAGTTTCGTTCGACTTTGCCTTTGGAAGCGAGTCAGTTTTGTACTTGACAGCAAGGCCACGCACCGCCAAAGGCCTTTGCGACAAGCTGGTGTCCGAAACAAACGCCAATGATCTTGACTCTGTTTGTGTCCTTTGCGCGGCGCAGACAATCCTCCG